GTTGTATGGATCTTGTGCATCTGCCAAGCAAGATCGAACTGTTGAGATAATCATTCGGCTCTTTCCATCATATGGGATTGAGAATCATTGTGCATTAACACTTGAAATGTCATACAAGATTGAAATTGCCACCCATTTAAGTAGCAGGATGTTTAGCTATAGTGGATTCATAAGCCTCCTTCGATCTATAAAGTTTTGTCGCCTTGAACTGAACGGATCTCACGGCTTATTCAGAAGATAGACTACAGCTATCGTCGAGCTCCTCAAGTACAAAGCCACAAGCCTTAAGCACCTTCCAGTAGTTTCCAACAAAAGTTATATTCCTTCTATTTCTGTCATTGGAGTAGGAACAAGGTAACCTAGGGCTACCTCCCACCATTAGGAGTTTCTCACACTAGAAATCAAAAGAAAGAAGAGAAGAGTGGAAATAAGAGAGCCCTCCCAAAGTTTTTGGTTTCCGTTAATATTGTATTTTGCATTAATCAAAATAAAGCCAAAAGTATAAAAAACATACAACTATGGATGTTCCATTTTATCAATATCCTCCTTGAACAAAGAAAAAAAGTTGAAGGGAGATTTCTATCATGTATCTTTCCAAATAAAATCTCCAAAAAAAATTGGCAAAAGAAGCACCAAAATCAGCTACAGATTACTTTGTCAATGAATATAATGGAAAAGAACTTGCTTGAAAGCTGTCAAAAAGGTGAGGTCATGCTCAATACAATCCTGGCCAAGCCCCATTTTGATTAGTCATGGTGAGTTGCAGCCATTTGATGATGGAGCTGTTGTCTCCTTTAATGATGATCCCATCCTTATCCAACATCCACTCTTCAATAATAGCTAAAAATGCAATAAGTTCTATGATGAGGACATCCGACCTGGAAAGTCTATCAGAGGATTAGCCGTCGATCTACGGCCATGATCGCACCGCTCTACTTTTGATGTTCTTTTTTTATTATTGATGTATAAGTTTTATTTATGAATTTTATTATGTCTTCCACTTATTTCCCTTAAGGGTTTTTAGACATGTGTAAGCCCTAGAGGCATATTAGTACTTTTTATTTGTCACTTTGTATTTGCTATTTAAAGCCTTCCCTTTCCTTCTTTGAGGGTTAATGAAGAATTATTAATGAAATTTATGCTTGGTGTTATTGAGAGAGCTTGAGAGAAAGTTAGAGAAAGGAGCCTAGGAGAGGCCAAGCATAGTACCCAACAGCCACCTTCGATGAGCTCTTGGTTTTTCTATCTTCCCCTCATTTCCCCTCTTTCATTTCCTTCCACCGTGGGCAAAGCCCTTACCCATTCCCTCTTCTGCCCACGGGTCAGCCTTCCCCTCTTGCCCCTACAATCCTGCCGGCCTCCCTCCCCCATGCCACCACCTAGCCGCCGATCCTCTCCAACCCAAGACCCAGCCGCCAGCCTCCCCATCATCCCCCTTGGATCCCAAATTAAATCCCCCATTAATATCTTCCATATTTAGCCTCTTGTAGTTTAGGAAAAAATTTAATTCAAATTCAAAATAACTTGAATTTCAAAATTTTCTAATTAAGCCCAATCCCTTTAGGAAATAATCCTCAATCATCTTAAATATGAGATCTCATATTTAATTCTCAATTACAAATTAATGTCATGGTCCACATTCATTGAATGTGGACACAATCCTCCACCTCTCTCTTGGCCGGTCCCATGCCCCCTCTCCCTAATTGATTGCTTTCCAAATTTGGGTACAAATCAAAGGAATTAATTTCCCCAACTCCAATCAAGGCTGCCGCCTCTCCTTCCTCTCTTTTATCTAATTAAAATCCTTCCTTAAACCCTCAAATCAAGCTCTCCCTGACCTTTCCCAAATCCAGCCAGCCCCTCCCAAGCCGTCGCTGAAGTTTCCCTCTCGTTTTGAAACATCTGGCTAGCTTTCCACACATATCAGCAGGATCATCCTGCTGTCCTGCACTATTGGAGGTCTTGAACTGCTATCCAAAAGTCCCCAGCATCATCTAGCATCCGTCCAAGGCTTTTATAAGCCTTAGAAGTTGCTGTCCGGCATTTCTCAAGGGCCAAAACTGCTGTCAAGCCTCTTATAGTGACCGTCCAGACACCCCTAATTGCTGTCCAGCAACCCCTAATTGCTGTCCAGCAACCCCGGCAGCTTTCCTGCTGCTGTCACGTTGTCCAGAAGGCCTCTGATCGCCGTCCAAAAGGTTTCCAAACCCTGAAGCTGCTGCCCACTCTTTCGCAAACCTTCAAACAACCACACCGGAGTTTCGTAACTCCTTTTTTCTTTGGGTAAACTCTTCCTCCGAGTCACTTTTCTTCATAGTCGCTTTTCAAATGTAGTCTTATTAGATTCATGAGATAGTGTTAATGTTCCTCCGCTAAAGCTTAGTAATTTTAGAGAGTTGAGTGAGTGGATTCTCATAGTGATTAAACTCATTGTTAATTTAAGGATATCTTGTTGAAAACCTCTCCGTATGCTTTGTTTGACTATTGATTGTTTGAGGACTCAACTTTATGTGTGTAGCTTGGCCTAAACTGAAATCACCCAACTTTTGTTTTATTTTTTCATCATTTAAATCACTTAAAGTTAATGCTTAATATTGTTTTCAATAAAGAAGCGTGCAAACTCTTTAACCATTATTGCATCACTTAGTCCTACATCATTCCACCTAGGTGATATCCCAATGTTCCAATTGCTTTCCCATTGCTAACAGCAGTTTACTATGATGATCCCGAAAAAAACGCCACAAAAACAACCCGGTTGGAGGGGAGGAGGGCAGCATCCACATTGATTTTGATTCAGTTTGGAGGGGGGCACCAAAGTTTGTGATGTCACAACATATAGAGTCAGTTGGTATCTCAGTGCTCCAAAAGAGGATATAAATTCGGGCAAATGGATGTTGACAGGACAGGGGCAATAAACACAGACGAGTTTCCAAATTTCCTTCCATTTTTGAAAGCATTTATGGCGTGCCAAACCTCGTAGAACGAGCTAGATACGACCCATGACTAGATTGGAATAGGCAGCAGCCTTCAACTGCTTCAGAAGATCGATTGTAGGGATCGGCAGCCCTCAGTGATTGAAACTTTCAATGACTACAGCAAGCTTGCTACAATTGACTGCAATGTGCTCCACATTCTCATTGCTTCTACAGTTCCAAGGGTAAAGATTGGAATCAACCATTTAGCCTCCTTGGTTGGTTGGAATAGTTCACCCCAGTTAATCTAGGAGAGTTCAAGAATGTCAATCGGGATCTAAAGGGTTCTTTGAGTTAGAGGTTCACCAAACCACCTATTGAGAGTAGGGATGCTCCCAATTCTGCACAAAATTCATCAGCTCCACAACTTCAAGGTTCTAAAGGTTGCTGCAATCACAGAACGTCGGCCAATCCCGCAGGGGTCTATCAATAATCCATGTATTTTCAATTACATTGACTTACGACCCATTCGAAATATGCCACCTGATCAACGGTCGAAGGGACTTTGCACCATCCGGGATCACTAGCCAAGAATTTGAGGCTCCCTGTTTTACTACGGGGCACCAAATATCCTCCCCATACCATGCATGCAAGCTTTTGTTTAACCTAGAGTTTAGGTGTTGAATGAAATCCCATACCAACTGAGCATGTAACAGACCCTGCCACTACACAAACGAATGGAACCCCAAGCCCCCGAGCTTTCTCGAACAACACACCACCTCCCAAGGAACATAATGCATACCTTTGCTACCATGATCATTATGCTAGATGAAGTGTCTGCTTAGTTTCTCTAAGGATGCCTTGAGGGACCATCATACTAGTTATTAAAAAGGCTGGAAAGGGCAGCAGGGAGAAGCGAATTAGAGTGGCTCTGGCCGCAATGGACAAAGATCGATGTCCCCAAGTGTGGAGCTTGTCGCTAACAAGCTTAAGAAGTCCCTCAAAATTAGTAGAAACACTTTTTCGAAGGGCGAAATAGACTCCCAAGTAATCCATTTCAGAAAAACTTCAACACCCCGAAATTTTCAACACGGAGGAGGCCAATTTCCCTTCGGCGCTCCCTCGCCCGATTTCTTGTGAGCAATGGCGACTTATTCTTTTTCGGGCTCGTTAGCGCTTGAAGTTTTCAACACGCAAGCTATTGACTTTCCCTCAGGCTACTAGCGTCTGATCTCTCATGCACACCAATGGCTAACATGCCAAGAATTTTTGACAATCGAGCGATTAATTTTGTCTCGCGCTGCCAGTGTCAATTCCTCATATGTGCTGGACTGCTGGTGATTAGTTTTTCTCACAGGCTATAGAGAACAATGCCCACATGCACATAACTTTTTACAATTAGCATAGGAAAGGCACGGCATATGCATGTGCTTCGAAGGCACTAAGCCAACAAGATTTATCAAGTATAGTATGTATTGCATTCTTCTTGTAGTCTGAATCTTGATCATTACTGAAATTTAATATTTATTCTCAATTTTTCTTGTGAAACCTCATATTTATGTGGCTATTACATTATTATTTTGAGTGCACGAAATGCGTATATCATTTTTGCATTAAAGGACACTACTTTTTCATAAAGTTGAAATTTAATAATTTGCCAATTGTAGTCAATGTGTTCTCCTTCACTTCTTATTTGAGGTTGCATTAGAGAATCCTAGAATCTTAAATGTCTAACATCAAAAGATAAAGAAAACAAAAACAAAATGATCATTTAGTGGTCAAAGGCTATAAAATTTATAAACCATTTCAAAGCAATTGTACTTATTGACCCACAAATGCTCAAAGTAGTCATTTTTAATTATCTATATGAATGAAACCATAAGAAACTTCATGGTTTTCTTCTGATAATATTAAAATACACATTGTACTTTGTCAGAGAGGAAACAAGTCCAACAGTAAAAAATGTCAAGAATTAATGTGGAATATGCAGTAGTTGTAATCAAAAGTACTGCATCCAGAGTAGTATAAACTACAAATTTCTGAAAAAATTACTGTTCAGGAACAACTAAAAAAGATCTATGAACTTACACTTTCAATCTGTAGCTTACGAGCAGCGTAAACAAGCAATACAGTGGCACCACCAAAAACAATCACTGTTGCAACAGCAAACGCCTTGCCAACTACACAGATTAAATCTGGACTAAGTCAAAAGCATCAATAAAATAGAGCTACAAAACACGGCAACATTAACAGTTTGAACAATATCATAGGTTCATTTAAATGATACTCACAACAGACTTCATTTTCAATGAAAATTCATCACTTAAATTATATTCCTTTCCTTCATGTACACCAAGTAACTTATCAAATAACAAGCAACATTGCTCATAAGTTACGCCTACCATAATAAAATCAACTTATCCCACCAAGTTTAAGTCTAATGCAATAGGACATTTGTTGCCAAGGGGTCTTGAGCAATAACCAGGAAGGTTTGAACCAAACTAGTTCTAATTATATGACAATAAAAATAGAATTGAGGTTCATTCCAGTTACTTTCTCATGTTTCAATAGAGCCAATTTTGACCCTCATTTAGCTCCCTCAAAACATGATTCAAACAATTTTATGTGTGTGCGTTTTTTTTCTGCATGTAGCAACGCTTTATATCAACTGAGTGGTTAAGCAGAATTTTTAGTTTTTATGCTTCCATTTTGATTAAGTTAGACTTCTCTTGTGAACAATTTTTTTCATCCCGCTGTTACTTGCTCAGATTTTCAATCACTGGAATACTACCTCATTCCAATGGCAATTAAGTGCTCAAGGCATAAATAAAGTGTGAGGCAGCTAAGAGTCTCTGACCTAGAATATTCATTGAGACATAGTGAGCTTCAAGAGTTTTTGCAGAGAGGATGTTTGTCAGCGAAGTGATTTGTTATCAATTCTCACAGCACAAGGATAAAATTGTGGGTGATGAAACACAATCAGGAGGAGAGTCTCTTGCAGCTTGTCAGTAGTATATCTACAAGTTGCATAAGCTTCCATAGCATAAACGCTAACACCATACTCCGTTTCTATCAAGTTATCAATTTGATTCCAGATCAAAGCCCAAGACCTTGAGGGAATAATAGTT